CACTAACCCTAACTTAAACGAACTTAAAGATTTTTTTGTGCGCAATTTTACTGTCACGTGACAGTGAAATTTTGTCGGCGATCCTGGGGAAGATTATTACTGTTATCGTAACTTTGTTCCTGAAAATGGAGAACGATACACGCACGGTCTGTCAAAACAGATAATAATTCAAATGTCTTTTTTTTTTTAATATTTATATTTATTTCATTTTTTTAGAAAATAACTGTGGAAGATGCTAAGCGGATTTTGGACGAACAGGTAAAACATTATGTACAATTTTACATATTATTTTGCGTATTTCGTGTATTTTACATTACCATCGGCTTGTATGCGAAAAAGACAACATATCTTCAGAAAATAAACACGGAAATTCAGGAATGCACTTCTGAAATTAACGACTTAAGGTTCGAGTGTGAAAATCTGGAAAAAGAAAATGATAAACTTTCTAAAGAACGCGAACTCTATGAGTCACAAGCCGTAAAAGCTGTATCAAAAATGAATAATCGATCGTTACAAGAAACGTGTAGATCGTATGTATTATTTAGATATTCTTTTATCAACTGATTACAATAAATATTTATTATATGTAAAATGTATAGGTATCGTTCATCTATAATACTTTATTGCAAATTGTTGGATGTTGAACTTCCGGATCCAAAAGACCAATTCATGGATTGAAATCGCAACAATTCTTGGCTTACTTTCTTTTCTTTTTAAAGCCGCCACGCCTCGTCAATTGTATCTGCGATAAATTAATCAATGTGATCTTAAATTTATAATTTGATAATATCAAATTTAAATTTATCAATAAATACCTGTTTATCTCTTAAACTCATTCGTTTTTTATTGATCATATTCTTCTTATGAATTACCATCATAAAAGCTTTATGCCTTGCTTTCTCTTTGTTTGTGGTGCTAGTGCCTTCAACCTTTTTCCCTTTTTTGGGTCCTCCGAACTTTTCTCGTCCCTCCCGTCCGGCCTTTATGGATTCTATACGTTCCTCATAATCCTGTTTGGCTTTTTTTCGTGGTCCAGTAATAAAATTGACATCAACTATATCCGGGAGTTCATCGTGTTGTATTCTATTCAAAAAACGCGTCATATTAAATTAAATTAGTTTTTACATGTAGTGTATTAAATTAGTTATGGCATACTTAATACATACGCGTCACTTTTGCGTTTACCTCCATCTATTAATTGTTTAACTTTATGTTTCATTTTGAGTTCGTTCAGTTTGAAAAAATCTGCTGGAGTCAAAAGCTGTTTTATTTAAAAAAAATTCCCAATAATATATCATTAATACGTAAAATACGTAAAGTAACAAAAGAGACGGAAAAATCTATTCGTACTTGTGTTGTTGCCAAGCTTGAAATCTTTTTATCATTTGTAATCTCCCCTACATATCCTTCATTTTTTTCTTCATTGTCACATTCCTTATCATTTTCACTATCAGCTTTATCGTCTTCAACATCTTCAATTTCATCATCTCTATCGCCATCATTTTCATCATCGTCTTCATCATCTTCACTTTCATCATCGTCTTTATCATCTTTATCATCGTCTTTATCATCTTCATTTTCATCATCTGAAACATCATTCCAATCTTCGTTTGATGAAGCATTTGAAGCTACTTCCCATCCTACCCATTCTTTGTAATAGTATAGATATACATATATATTGAATATAAAGTTGATGCAAGCTTTAAGAATATAATTATAATTATATACTACCATCTTCCTCAGCTCCTGTCACGCCTTCCTGCATTTGTTGTTTCTTATATTCTTCTAATAATTCTATACCTTCAATTTGTTCAGTCGTACGTATTTTACCATACTGTAATGGTTTGAAATCTTTCATATTCATACTAGCAATTTTACCCTATAAAGTTCAGAATTGTAAATTTATCGATTAACATGTATCATAAATAAATTACGAAATAATAGAAATATACCCGATCTTTTCTTTTCAACATTTCCGGATTAATTTCCCGAAATAATCCAATTAATGATTTAGCTGCCATAATGACCCCCTTATCCCTATCTGATTTATATTCTGTTAGATCTTGTAACAAAGTAGAATCTATTGCTAAGGGTTGACGTGCACAAATCTCGCGTATAGCGTTCAAACTATAAAAAAATTTTTTTTAAATTATCAAAAAAATGTAATCAAAATTTATACATTTGAAATCTAATCAAACTTACCCAGCTGCCATGACTTCACCAGCACAATGATCCGAAACAAAATTATTTGCAATAGTTTTAGTAACAGGTTCCAACACATCAGGTGGTACCAATTCATGACAAGATTGAGCAACTACAACAAGAATCATTGTTACATCACGTTGGTGCGGTTTAAGATACTTTAATATATATGTATAAAAGCTTAATAAGATAAGTTTATGTGTTCCAATTATACGTGATATAAGATTCATTGTCATTAATTTGACTTCAAATCTATCATTATTTGACGATTTTTGAAGTGATGATAATAATTTTTCGCTGAATCCTAATCATATTAAATTCATATTTAATTCATATTAAATTTATTGTGAAAAAAAACTTTTCAAATTCAATTATAAAAAATTTATGTTACTAAACAATAGGTTACCTTGAGGATCATTTAATAAATGTAATGTGGAAAAATTAAAATTTTCTTTTTTATTTTTTTGCCTTTCTCTTTTCTTGATAATTGACATTGCTTTTTCTAATTTTTTTAATTTGGATCTTTTTGTTTTATTAACAAGATTTATATGTTGTAATCGTTTAATATCTGGAATATCCTGTTATATAAAAAAAAATTATTTTACTTTAGTATGAAATTTCACAGACAAAATATATATATATATATATGTTAAAAAGAAAAACTCTACATAATCATCTTCGCTATCTTCATCTTGATTTTCATTATTTGATCCCAAAAAAAATTGAATTGCTGCAACCTTAATTTTTGTCACTGAATGGAAACACGCTTCAGATATGATATTAACAGTTTTTGAATCATTCCTATGTTAAAAATAAATTGTATATATTTTATATATCTGATATAATTAACTTATAAGAGATTAAACTTACCATATTCCCTTTTTATATAATTCTATACACGCATCTAAACTTTTTTTAGCAGCAACTACGTTTGTGCTGTCTGTTGTACTTTGCAAAATTGTGTACATAAAATTTTGTAAAGTTTTATTTAATTTATTATTTTTGTGCTTGGAATTAGTATTTTTTATATCTGAAATAATATGTGAGTATAGTAAGTCGCGAAGTTGTTTATCGTGAACTCGGAATAGTGTGTAGAATAAAGATAACACCCTTTATATACAAATTAAGTTTTAGCTGATTTTTGAATTGTATAAAAAATCATTCATTTTAAAAAAAAAAGAAGCATTTTCTTTACGTGATACTGGGAATTATTTCTTTATTGCGAAGTAGTATGAGACTTTGTACCATGGTTTTTCGTAGATTAGGATTTAAATTTTGATAATTTTCAGAAAGTAAGTTTATTATTTGTTGAGGAAATGTACTTGTTTCTTGTGGATAGCATTGCGCAACCTGATTATTATTATTTTTATTATTATTATTGAATACATCCATTTTTTTAACATTCGTTCTTCATGGAAACAGACCTGTGAAATAAAAGTAACCAAATTTCCAAATTCTTCTGCTTCTTCATCTGGTTTCAGCTGAAGAATGGTTAATTGAGACTCATAATGTCTATATTGTTGTAAAAAATCTTCTTTATATGAAAGTGGATCACGTTTGATAAGATTTTGTAGTTGTGGAATATTATTTGGTAATAAAGCTGACCGTTCACGTTTACCCATTTATTTCTGAAAAATTAGATAATAAATACAATTTATTTATTCAGTCAACAAACGAGTGATACGAATCGAAAAATCGATTAATCGGAAAGTTGGTAAAGTTGGCAGATAATTTAAATTTTTGACACAACTAATCGTTGAATGAACATCTCGATTAAAAAAAAAATTTTTTTTAAGATTTTTACGAGTCATGCGATTATATATAGTTAACCAATCAAGTTAATTAAAACCAATCCAACAAACTTACAGGCTGCGTATTGTGGTGACACACAGTATGTGGTTTAAATAATTTGGATTCTCGTGATTTCGGTCGAAATTACTGTATCTAAAAAAAGGTTTAGATAGTTTGTAGGGTTAGATTTTATACGAATTCTCGTGATTTTTACCGTGACTTACTGTATGTAAAGTATCGGTCAAGTGTAAGCAGCACATATAAAATTATATAACTAGTATTCTTTATTATAATCAAAATTTTGTTATTTCATATTTTTATACTATCTATATTTTTTTCCTTTTACGCTGAAGTACGTGTTTTGAAACTATCACTATCGACAAAATCAAACTCGAAATTTGATTGGTTGGCATTCACCTTATTATCTTCGTAAACTCAATACTAAAATTCTTTTGCTATACCGATACATTAATTATTCTCATCTATATATTTTATTAAATTGTCATAACCCATTTAAAGATCTAAACTGAATTCGCTTTCAAGATATGTTCGAACCCAATCATTGCTTAGAAGTTTTTTTTATATATTTTAATATAGTATCTTAATAATGGCTAGAAAATGTAAAGAGACTAATATTCACTTTATTAACTAGATATTATCTTAAGGATTATTGTGCTTTGCAAAAATATGTGGCCTCTGCAGATCACAATGCCACATGAGAATCGGAGATTCTATAGATTTTACAGATTTCAAAGAAATATAAATGTAACCGCTCGAAATATAAATCATTATCACAAAAATCATACATTGTGAAGCTTCGTTGTTAATAAGCGGTCGAAAATTATTACATATTATTTGTATTTTTTGATGTTCATTTGACTCATACTTTCCACATGATTCATGCTGAAAGAGTAGTTATTGTTTGCTTCGCACTCAATAACTATCTATATATTACACAAAATCCTTAGGAATATACGTATCATTTAGCTTGTAAAACTAGTACAGAATACAAATACGCACACATAAACAGTACATTGTGTTCGTTAATATTTCTATAAATTACTTTTGTTCATTAACAAAAGATCAGAATTGAATTTTAACCTACAGCAATGGGAGATTTAGAATTAGTAACTTCATACAATGATATATATTGTTTTACCGACTGCATGGGATATTG